TTTTTTTTTTTTTTTTTTTTTTTAGAACACGCCTCGATCAATATTTTATTTGCAAATTCCTCATTTTATCGCGTAAGATAGAATCACTGATGCACTTTTTTTTTTTTTTTAATCATAAACAAAGCGAATATCTCCAAGAAATTATCCAATTATCGAACGTAAAATTATCTTCCGGTTATAGATAGATAGATTTATACGTGTCAATATTGATGTATAATCAATTAAAAATAATAATTTACAGATTCGTTTCGGTACTTTCATCATTTATTAAAAATTAGCAAACGTTTCACTTAATCTATCAATCAGTATCACTACGTTCCTGCAATTATATCTGCCCCATGTTATTTCGCTTTCAAGATCGCGTAATTACTATCTAAACCCTCAATTAAAAGCCAGTAGTACGCATATATTAACATACAGATGCTACTATCATATCTGCTTTCCAGTTTTGGAATTATCATCAGGTTGGCATATACGGTGGAAAAAAAAACAAAATTTGATTTCCTTCGTTGTTGCATAAGCGTAAAATTCATTCCCCCCCAATATATAACGGATGGCTTGTAAGTTTACCAAATGGACAATTACGGAAGCAGAACGTGTATTAAAAGAATAAGGAAGGGAAGAGAATTCGGTAAGAGTCTCTCGAATTATCCTCTCTTTTTCTCTCTACACGAGACGTAATGCAATTAACATTCATCGATGCGTTTCGAGCTCAGCATCTGCACGATCGATCTCCCAGACAGTAGTTTCATCAGTTAAGAACGGTTGCCCGAATACTCTGAATAATTCAACTTCAACTTTGTATTATTCATTTAAGATGATTTATTGGATTTTAACTCTTTCTTTTTGTAATTAACATTAGAATTAACGATCTATTATATTATGCGGATAAGATTATTAAGATATATTATATCCACATGATTAAAATTAAAGTGGGTATTACGAGAACGATGTCTTATAAGTCTCAAAAAAAAGGTTAATTCGTTCGAGTTCGTGTAATCGAACGTTTTTTAACGTATGATGAAAGAAATGCTTCAATTTTATGCAATAACAATGAGAAAAAAATTGTAAAACGAATTGTTAGAAATTTTAAAGAGCTATATTAAAAAGGGAAAGTGAATTTAGGAAGGGAAATGAAAGGATACTTCAAGTCTATAAAATAACAGGTTCATTTCACCTTATAAAATAAAATAACACGTTCAGTGTGGTTACTTCAATTCGATTAACTTGATTTCAACTTTGTGTTTACGTAAGACGAGTTACCCCACTTTAATTCGTTTGAACTGTTTAAACTAATTAGACACGAAAGAAAATGTCTTTTCTTCAACATTAATGGAAAAAAAAAAATAAATAAAAGAAAAAAAAATAAAAGAAATTAAAGATTTAAAAAAAAACGTTAAAAGAGAAAGCGAATTTGGATAGCAGAATGAAAGAGTACAACTCGAATAATATAAATCACATAAATGATTTTAAGTTTCTTGAATTCAAATTGCTCGAATTCAAGCAACTTGATTAATCTGAGTAAGGCCTTACTGGCGTGATGTAAATCATATATTATGCCCCTTCCTCCATATCTTGTTACCACTTCCATCGCTTTTTATTTTTAGTTTTTTTTTTTATTTCACCTTTCCACCGTGGATTCTCTTCCTCGCGTTCTCTTCGTTCCACGAAGGAGATGGTCGCGGATTCAATCGGTGGAACGTCATACCTGTGGGGATCCAGAAAGGAGGGGACAATCGTTTTGACGAAGAAACTTGGGAATATGAAAATGGTTGCAGGAAGAAAAAAAAAACAAAAAAGAGAAATTGTTCGTTCAATTTTGAAAATTTGAAAATGCGAATTCGTCAGGCCAGTGATATAGATTAGACTCTTTTTAATCCATAAATTAAAATTACAAGAAAATTACGAATTATAAACATTGACGTAAAAGATAATGAACGATAGTAATCTTTGAAATAAAAAAAATATGAATCATTTTTATTTTTAGAAGATCGTTACAGGATGAAGACATTCGAGGAGTAAAAAATTCGTTAGTTAGGTGTAAGAAAATATCTTGAATATTTAAATATAGATATAAGATATAGAATATTGAAGTCAAAGAAGTTGGTAGTTCTTGGAATAAATAGATGATCTGACTCATCTGTTACAAACGATTTTTAATAGGCATCAATTAATGAAAATCCCGATGGAGGAAATCTGGATGGACAAAACATCAAGCAAACAATGTTTTTAGGGTCTAACCGGTCTACCGTGAACATTTTGTTACTACTGTTTAAAATAAGTAAATCAAACACTTGTTAAAAAACATCTATCCTCTGAATTTCTTCTCAAATTCTTTCAAATATAACTGACAGTAGAAAATTAAATAAAATTATATATCTCGAAAATTCAGCCTACATTTTTTCTTTAATTTATTATAACACAATCTTCTAGCATTAACCAAAAAAAAAAAAAAAAAAAAAAAAAGAAGAAAAGAAAAGAATCTCTATCGAAATACTTGAAATAATACAAAGTTGAAAGTAAATTACTCTTAATTATCACATATATCGTATCTCGCAAATCTTTTATATCTTTCATATTATCTTTCGCGCGAAATCTCTCCAATTTCTTTCCCTATTAACCCGCGTAAAGGAATCTATTTAAAATTAATCACCGTCAAACGCGTAGTATCGTTTTAATTTAATCGATGGGAAGGATAGATAGAGGCGCGGCGCTTGAGGAGGAGTGTGAGTTTCGGTAAACACTGGCACGTCTTCCGCGCGGTGAGCGTTTCCTTTCACCCTGGAAGAGAATCCCCGGCACGCCAACGGGTACGCCAATGCACATACGACGGGTTATGGAAGCAACCGGGGGCCGGGATTTAAAAAGAAAAAAAATGCTACAACGTCGCGAGCGTCGAGCGAGGGGCCCCGCTCGCATACTCGCGCCATACGCGCGCGTGTTTCACTTTTCCGCGAACGTAGCGCGAACAGAGGGGCTGGAGACCGATCGCGACGGGGGAAAGCGGACTATAAAGACCGTGGAATCTTGGGGGGAAGTATCCAGTAAAGTCTGGACTTCGACCAGATATCGGAGTGCATCGCGAGACATGAGATATTTGGTGAGTATCGAGAGAACATCGCGCGAATATCCTTGGAAAACTTGTCTTCATCATTTTCCACCCGTTTCCTTCGATCGAAGAAAATCGAAATTTTGAAATTGAAAATAGACAAGAGTTGAAGTATCCAAGTTTCGTTAACGTCTCGTCTTCGTTTCAGTTTCATACGATATTGGTTGTTGGCCTGTTGGCCACGGCGTTTTGCGAGAAAGAGTTGGAGAAGAGCGCCGTGGAGACTCGCGGCGAGTCTAACGTAGAAAAGAGGCAAGAGAAACGAGGCCTCTCGCATTTCGAGGGTGATATCGGTGGTGGCGGCGATTACGGCGGAGGACACGAGATCGCTATATCCGGAGGAGATGGCGGTGGATACGAAGGCGGCGGTTACGGGGGTGGTGGTTACGGCGGTGGCGGTGGGTACGGGGGCGAGGAAGGTGGCAAAGTAAAGGAGATCACGATCGTGAAGAGCGTCAAAGTACCCTATCCGGTAGAGAAGAAGATCCACTACCCCGTGGAAAAGGAAATACCGTACCCGGTCAAGGTCCCCGTACCACAACCGTACCCGGTCGAGAAGAAGATCCCGGTCCCCGTCAAAGTTCTGGTCAAGGTGCCGGTCCACATTCCGCAGCCCTATC